AACGCGAGCCTCGTTGAGGCAATAATTGATTGGAACTGTAAATGTCAATCTCAATGGGGGAGGGGTAACGGGGTTACACGAACCCCAATAACAGGTGTGTGTCACACGAGATGTGCATGATGTGACCAGACACCCAACAAGAATACGGTACGGGGCTAGGTAGCCAGTAGTTATGCATGTATTTAGTATTAATATATATATATTTAGTATTAAGAAAAATCTAAACTTTTAACACTAAAATAAAAATATAAACAAAAATTAGTTTGAAATTTAAATCGAAGAGTCGATTAGCCTTGGGAAAGCAATAACACTCTTGGAGTAAGTCCGCTAACTCATACTTGATTATTTAAAAGAATGAAAGGTCGGTGACCTAAGTTATGCATCCTCAAGCGCTTTGCTACGGCGGCCCCACTGCACACACCGTCCCGTGATCTTTAAGCAAAATGGCAACTTTTATCGTTTTCGGAAGCGGCAAGGAGATCCCTCAGCTCATCAGAATGCATAAAATTTCGCCCATTGACGGGTAGGCCCGATCTCGATTCACCACTACGACCACTAAATTTCCGCTTTCCTACGCGGTTCGAGCACCAACGTCTTATGCTTCACTTTTCTCCTGTCGGGAACATCTCTTCTACCACGATTTAGTTCAAATATACCAATTTAGTGTGCGGCCAGCTAGCTTGAATTCGCTCGCGCGAATTTACACAAGAGGCTGAAATGCTCATAAATTCAGCCATACCTCGGTCTTCCTCTTTACGGAGTCTATCACTATCCTCGGTACTATTTCTTAAGTTAGGTTGCAAAGTGTACACACATGACACAAACTGTACCTACACCATTACACTGAGGACATTCTTCTTTTTCCCCATTTGTCACCTTCTGCAACAATTGTATTATATTCTGAACGTATATAACTGAGAGTTACAAAGTCACATGTTAAATAATTCCATGTAAAATATAGTACAAACTCATGATTAAAAAACAATGAGTAGTCCAGGGTTAGGTTACGCTTTTCTCAAAAATGGATGTGAGAATCTTTCGATGGGATGAAGTACATTAGGTAACATGGCCGTGATTTGATGCTCAACTTTTTAATCTTAAATCGTAACTCATATGATAATGCGCATTTAAGTAAGCTACTCATTTACTAATAAGTCAATTTTAATCAAGGAAATGATGCTCGAAGATTTGAAACAAAATAGCCTCCTTTTCAGTGTATTTGACATGATTAAAGTGCGCTTTCTTGAAAAGAAAACCCGGCTTCAACAAAAATAAATCAAGGCATAATTTAAGTCTTTGTGAGACAAGCATCAAGCAACATCGACAGCTGGTATCTCAATTCAAGACCTCAGCACCTAAGCATGCATCACTTGGTTGATGGCGATGTAATATGCTAGACAGATGAATATATGTTTCAACCACCGGCTGACCCTCTACGCCGGACCAAGTTACACGAAGGATTAGAAGGATGGCATAAAATGCGGTATTTGTATCGCCTACATTCTTCAAGGAGAAGATTGGAAACTTAAAATACTTTATTTCATCCAATCAAATTCAAGGACGAGTTCAAGGGAGAGGTTGACCGTGACTGACGCCAAAAAGCCGGTTGCTATATTGTCATAGGACAGATTTGCGTCGCCACGTAAGTCGTAAGCATTCGTGGTCCTTCTTCGCTGCAATCAAGTCCGAGAACTGCACGCGTTTGAAATAAACTAGAGGTCATTGATTATAACAAGGCAATTTTGATTTGAAATCCTA